CATTTTATTTTTTTTTTCTGAAATTTAATTTTTTTTTTATTTATTTTATTCTTTTTTTAAATTTATTTTATTTTAATTCATTTTATTTTAACTAATTTTATTTTAATTTAATTTCCTTTAATTTATTTCATTTTATTTCCTTCATATTATTTTAAATCTATTATTCATTTTTTATATTTTATTCTTAATGGATTTTACCTTATTTTATGATTATTTTATTTTTTCTATATTTTTTTTACTTTATTTTATTTTTCATTATTTTGTAATGTTTATATTTTCGTTGCGTTTGTATCTCATCAAAACTCTTTTTATCTCGCCTGAGCACTTAGTTATCTACTTTTCTACACTTTTTATGGCACAATAGTTTATTTTTCTACTCATTAGTATTTTTTGGTCTGCTATAAATAAAGTCATCACCTCTACAAGTCCAGTCGCCTTTTACATATATACATATATTTATTTGTGACACCCAATGAGTGTTGAGGCTGTTTCCGGTGAGGCGGCGTAATATTCCAAATATGTAGGAAGTCAACACAAATTCTTTTTTTTTTTGCAAAATTTTTCGATGAGATAATTTAAAATACGTTAAAAAAACAGACAAAGTGGTTACTACGATGCATACACGTAGATGAATGGAACTCACTTAAGTAAGTCGTATTGGAATATATATGTAGTATATAAAAAATTATACACGCCCATGTACTGAGCTAAAAACCTTTTTCGCATCGTGACATGAAAAAAAATTAATTTATGATACGGCAGCTAAAATTTGTTCTTCTGTCTATTAAAAATATTTATAAAATATTAAAAAATATCAAAAACTAAAAAAAAAAACAGTTTTTGAAAATAAAAAATGTTTAATTAAAAAAAAATATTTTTTGAGCCAATAGTTAATTGAATTAAGTACAGTTAGTCAAAGACCATTTCCGCAAAAATTTTTTTTTGAATTTTTCTGTATACGAAAAACTGCGAATTTAGCAAAAAAAAAAACAGCAATTAAGACAAAAAACTCGTTTTAACAATTTTACAAAAATATAATTAAAATTAGACAAAAGTGTTAATCAAATTAAACGAAAAGCAATTTGTGCTAATGCAATAAATAGCCAAATAAATAGCAAATCAAATTGTAATTACCCACTAAACAGAGAGGAGTTTTGAACTCAAACATAAAACAAGTGCAATTTCAAAGACCTTGACTTGGCTTTTGACTACGCACATACATATGTATGCTCACAAATCGTTACATATACATATTTATATACACATATATGTACGCAACAAAAAAAGAAAAATTCATAGTCAAAACAAATAGATACAAATAAGTACATTCATATTATCTATATGTATGTATATATGTAGTAGATATATGTATATATATGCATGAGCGACTTTGAAACATTAACCGTTAATTTGCAGCTATCAATTAGTAACATAAGACTATTTTATAGAATAGAGTAGTGAACTAAAAATGGGGTTGCCTAAGGCCAAATAGTTATCAGATGACGCCACACTAACTCGCATACAATTAGCACAATGGTAACAAAACTCGAGTCAAGAAAATAATAATAAAAAACACCAATAATAAAAAGAAAATTAACAAAAAAAAATAAAGTTATAAACAATTTAAAAAAAAATTTAAAAAAAATAATAAAAAAAATAAAAAAAAAATAAAAAATATAAATACAATAAAATATTGATTATAAAAAAAAATAATAATAATAAAAAAATAGTATAAAAAATAATGATAATACAAAAACAATATAAAAAGAATAATAACAATACAAAAACAATATAAAAAGAATAATAAAAAATAAAAATAGCAAGACAATAAAAATAATAATAAAATAATGAAAGTAATAAAAAACTATAATAATAAAACATAAAATTATTTAGAAAATAATAAAAAAAAAAATGAATATTGTAAAACATAAAATAATAAAATTAATAAAAACAATATTAATCAAAAATAAAATAATAACAAAAAAAAAATAATAAAATTAAATACAAATAATAATAAAATAATTAGGTTAAATATAAATAATAAAAAAAAAATAAAAAAAAAAAAAACGCATTAAAATCAGCTTATCACTTGATTTTCAAGCTAGTGCGGAGTGGCCACTCATTTTTGGTAATTTTTTATTATTTTTTATTTTCTTTTCTTCTTCAGACGTTAAAAATTTACATTTCTTTTTTCAATTCTTTTCATTTCTTTATTTTTATTTTTTTTTCATTTCTTTATTTATAATTTTTTTTCATTTCTTTTTTTAATTGTATTGATTTAATTATTTTTATATCTTATTTTAAATTCTTCTACTTTTTTCTTTTCTTTTTTTTAAGTTTTTTCATGTCTTCCTTTAAATTTTTTCATTTCTTTTTTTTTTAATTATTTAATATCTTTTAATTTTTCATTTCTCTTTTTTTTAATTTCTCAATTCTTTTTTTAATTTTTAATTTTTTTTTTAATTTCTCATTTCTTTTTTTTTAATTTCTCATTTCTTTTTTTTTTAATTTCTCATTTCTTTTTTTTTTTTTAATTTCTCATTTCTTTTTTTTTTTAATTTCTCATTTCTTTTTTTTTAATTTCTCATTTCTTATTTTTATTTTTTAATTTTTTTCATTTCTAGCTTTACTTTTTTAGTTTTTCGCTTTCATTTTTATAACATTTATTGTTAAATTGTATTGAATTGCTCATTATTGTTTTAATTTTTAATTTTACTCTGTTTTGTTATTATTTTTTTTTTTAAGTATTAATCAACATGCAATTTCATGGTATTTGGTATTTACCTTTGCGCATGCGCAGCACAACTCATCATCACTTGCATATTTGGTATATTCGAATTTGTCTTAACAATGTGCATAAGTGCTTCAATGATTGTTCAGTTTCTATGCGCGCATGCAAGCATAACATGCTAAAATAGAGTTTTAAATACAAAACTATTAAATGGCAAATGATTTCAGCGCTTGAAAAACAAAAGCTCACCGTTTTGCTTGTAGTTTTATTTTTTATTTTATTTTTTGTTTCTTCGATTTTTTTATGACTCACAAGTGATTTTGCTTTCAGTTGAATGTTCAGTATGAGAATAGCAATTTATAAAAATACACGAGGATGATAATTAAATACATACACATTTATGTATGTATGTAAGCATGTATGTATGAAATTGCGAAGAAAAAACAAGTTTTTCAAATACATTTGGACAATAAACAATATTGGCATATTTTTCAGTGCTTTTTTTTTATCAAATTCAGTTAAGAAATGCCTTTACGCTATTGAAAAATTCTTGTGGCTGCATTCCGCAGAACTAAGAACTTTTTTTAAAGACCACGACAAAAAAACAACTTACATAAATTATTTTTTTTTTTTAGTTAAAAGTGTTTACTTCATGTAACATTGACATTACTCGCTTTAACAACTAATAAAATATGTTTAATCAGCCTTCTAATTATGTGTTGCAGAGAAAAAAATGTGCGTTTGTAAAGAAATTGAAATTCCATTGAAAAGTTAGAGTTCAAAATGTATAATATACCAACAATGCATTCTTCCAGCTTTTTTAGAATTTATTTTTTAGCATACCAAGAGCAATAAAGCACAAAGAAACGTAAGAAAATATTCGTTCCTCGTAAAAAAGTGGGCGCCGGTAGCTAGCAGTTGTTGTTAATGCTTCGCGAATTAAGTTTCTTTTGTCACTGCACATTTTTTTTACGCAAAAAAATAGGTCACTAACTTTTCGGTATTTTGACATCAAAAACATATCACCTAACAGGCTTTCACATAGCTAACTACTCTTCAGCTTCAGCACGATAGAAGCAGCAAACATGCATACGTTTGTAAATTAATAGCGTTTGCGGCATTTCGTCATTATTAATTTATACTTGTCTCACGCAATATGCACAGTAATACAATAGAATATGGGAAAAAGCGAATATCAGAGAAGCCGAGAAATATTTTTTAGCCAACATAAGAATTAATAAATAAAATATGTATAAATCTTCTATCAAATATACATCAACTAGCACCTAGCACGAAACATAAACGTGACTAGTAACCGTTTATGATTAATTCCGTTTTATTGTTATTTTTGTTTTTTGTTTTTGCAGAATTTCGGTTAACAGTCGCGGCTGAAAACCAGAAATTGTTGGCAAACATCAAAGGAAATGGGACAAAATACACATGGAATACTTAACGCTGTTGACACAAATCAGAATTATGTTGTAAAGTAGCAGAAATATGTGCTTTTTTTTGTTGGCGTTATTTTTTATGTTTTTCATTATAAATATGTTAGTAGAATTAAAGCTGACTTTTTGTTCCCCATGAGGCGGTATAATCTAGACTTTATTAAATTAGAATCTTACCTTCTAGTGAACAACTTCAAAAATTCTTTCTTTATATTTTTATTAATATATTTAGTATTAAATTTTATGTTGCGTAGATAAAAAAAATTAAAAAAGCAAAAGAAAAGTTTTTCAAAAGCCCATGCATAGAGCCCAACCCACGATTTGTCAAGTAAATACCTATATGTACTCACATACATTGGTACAACTGATGTGTTTTTATATCTGTTTACTTTCTTTTTCTGTTTAGATAATTCAAAAAAGTTTTTTTATGGCTACAAGAGGCGTTGGTCGCGCTGCCAGTTGTCAAACGTAGACTCGACGAATTGGTGTTTGCAGTGAAATTCGCTATTATCTTAATACATAGTCAAATATTAAGTTAAAATCCTATACTATTCATTCTACTAAATCATAAAGTTTAAATATACATATTTGGCTGTACTTCTACATACATATATGTACACACACACACGCACACAAACACAAATTTTAAATCAATAGCCGCAATTATTTATCACCAATTATTTAGCATGAAGAATTTCATGTCAGGCCATGAAATTTTTACTTGTGCCAGCGCATAGAATCTTATCAGCATTCGCGTTAAAAAAAAAAAGCCTTAAACATGCATACATATATGTACATATGTATGCACTAGTACTCCAAATTACCTTTTGTTGGATTTTTCCGACGACTTGCAATTGTTCTCTATGTATCCTTTAAACCACTTTGTAGTTGTAAAATATGTAAACTTTACACTTTGATGCTTTCTTGAATAATTACAATTTTTTAAATGGAATGAAATTCAGCTTTCGCTCCACTTTTTTTTTGGTTCTTTCTTTATTTATTTTGTTTTTTTTTCTATTTTTTAGGGTCGCTTTGTGTTTGCCGTTTACTTTTTGGTTAGCACAAATTTCTTCGTGCTATTTATTACTTTGCACCTTTTTCGCGCGTTTGCTTTTCTCAAAAATTTCGTTAAATACACTCTCACTCACTCTGACGATGCATCACTCATGGGCACACTCCTTTTTCCCTACTTTTACGTTTTTATTTTCACAACGGCAGGATACAAAACTGACAGAATTGTATGTATGCAAAGGGATTGCATAAAATATGTTCAATTTAATTAATATTTATTTTTCTTTACTATTATTTACATAAAAAATCTACACTTTATGAACATGAAAGTAGAAAACACACCCGTTTGGTAAAATGCGAATTCCGTAAATCGCACTCAAAACTAATTTCCAACAGCTTCTGTCAATCAATGACCAACAAATGCAAAAATTAGAAAGAAACCAATTGAGGTGTTCCATCGGTAGAACATATCATTTTCAGTTGTGGTAAAAAGAGATCGACAAGTTGTTTGGTTAGAAAGAGTACAAGGCATTGTTTTGACGCAGCAAAGTATGCGTTTTGATAGGTATGTCACTGTGGAAATGTCAAAAGTACCGGGTAACTACTCGTTTAGATAGAGAGGTAATTCACAGAGGGTATTGCTGTTCGTAAATTTTGCATGTAGAAATTTTATTAAGCTAACGATAAAAATTAATTTAGCAACATTTTTTTTATTTAGTGAAATGTAGCTCCTTTTTAATAAGAATTGAAAATTAGTTGATTATAGCTAATAAGAGCGTTGCTAGAACTCTTGTATGACAAAAAAAACTCTATAAAGCTTTTATATTTTTACGTTTTTAATAGCAATCCTTCCACACCTTTAAGTTTTCTCACAATTTTTGCTCAAAAAAAAGGGGAATTTCTCAAAAGTAAGTACTTCTACTGCAGGAAAAATTGATGGGCATTGCTACATGACGTCTTGATTTCTTTGATAGTACAGATACGGACCTACTTGACCTTAAGAACCTCCTCCATAAACTTAAACTGCTTGGTTACCTCGCCAACGCGGCTTTTCATTTGGAAACCTCTTTGCATTGGAAGACTTAAAATCCATATACCGTTCTAACCTAACTTATTCTTTAAATTTTAGGTTATATTAGTTATTTTGAAAACTTTTTAAAAACAAATTTTTTTTTATTAATTTTGACTACAAAATCAAAGCTATTAAAATCAACGCTAAAATTAAACATATTACTAATCATATACATAACACCCAGTCATTTTACGTAGTGCGATAGAGAAATTAAAATAAATTGACAAAACTCAATTTTCATTGCATTAATTTTTTTTTACTTTTTTTTATAAAAAAAAAAAAACAGGATTCGGTCAGTTTTTAAAAGCAAACACCATCAATTTTAGGAGCATTAAAATTGTACTAAATATGTGTGAAGCTGTACTGGAACGTGCGCGTCTACAAAGAGAGGGTGCTAAGCGGACATTTCAGTTGTATAAATTTGAAAATATGACCGTTACATCGCCACCAGCACTGAAAGTCTACTTTTGGGAATATTTCGATATTGATAAGTAATTGCTATCTAAGTATACATATTAAATATTTAAGAGATGTAACCTTCTATTGTACTCCTAGACTCAACCTAGAAATCCAAAGAGATAGAACTCATTTTGAACACAACATTATTATGCCAATACGTCAAATTAATAGTCGTCCACTGAAGATAATTCTCTGGTTACGCAACTTATCGGAGAACAATCTCAATCTTCATTTGAAGCGTATAAAAAAATGTGATTGTATGCCACTGGAAACTCGTGTGGGCTTTAATCAATTTCGTCATCTATATCATTGTCCCCATAGGCGTCTAATACATATCTTACAGGAAGCGCTACACATGAAACCCCAAGAGGTGGTTGCAATGCGTGTAGTTTTTTATTATTTTCTATTTGGCGAGCATACGCTTACGTATGAATTCATGTAAGAGCAACACGGTGTTATGTGATTGATATATGTGGAGGAGTCAAGTGAGTTTTCTTTTTGCAGCGGCTCCGACTCACGAGTTTTCACTTTGAATTTCAAAATGAATATTATTGGCTTTGATCCAAACGCTTGTATTATAACCAAAGAGCTTATACCAACTGATTTACGGGAACATCGACGTCTCGTACAACCCATTTGGGTGCAGAATATAACGGGCCACCATTTGAATTTCGTCTTTTCTACGCGTGAGCGTGGATTAAAGTTAATGAACCCGAACTTAACTGTGCCACGTTTAAGTGTCTGGCCGTTAATGGTAGAATATAGACCAAGTGATTTCGAAAATGTGGTGAGATTATAAATGTTGTTGTTTTACTGTAAGAAATAAGAGCTATTTATTTAAAAATATTTCAAAAGTAGATACTGTATCGCGTATGTTGCACCTACGCCAATGAAGAAGAAAAAATACTGAAAGAACTTATTACAAGAAAAACTCTTGAATCTTATCAAAAAGCAAGATTTCATTTCATTTTACTATTTTAAATACTAAAATATTGGTGTTTTGATTTTTAGCTTGATTTTACTTTGAACTACGAAAATAGTCGTTCCAAATTTCAAATCAAAGCTAAAGGTTATACCGATAAAGTCGCCGCCGAACCGGAAGTGCCTGTTGACGACTATGAGTGCGCAGACTTCCCCTATGTTATATATCCAAATAAAATCGAATTCGATATGCAACGTTCAGAGCAGAGAAGTTTAATGGTGTCTATACATAACTACAATCAAAAATGTGTCGAATTTCGTTGGCAAAAGTAAGAGAATTTCAGTAAGAATAAAATTAATTCAACTTTACTTTTTCAATTCAAAAACTGTTATAACAGCTACATTATCAGCGATCTATTCGAAGTGACATTTGAACCAAACATCTTTCGCCTCAAGCCGCATCATTCAAAGCTCTGCGTGGTAAATTTGCGTGTCTTCGAACGTGCACTTCACTTCAAGCGCATACCTTTGGCCTTGGAGGTACATCGAGTACTCGATAAATCAACAAAGATTGCTAAACAGCTTCTGGAAGATGTTGAATCTATTGATGATCCTAAATGGAAAGAGCCCAGCTATATGATGCATATATTTTTGCATCTAAATATAAAAGTTAATTTCAAAACAGAGGAACCTGTAACTATTGCTTGGGAGCTTTTACCACATAAAGGCGAGCGTTTCACAAAAACTCCAACTACAACGATTTTTGAAAAACTCTATTGGGATTATTTGTCGGAATCCAATTTTATGCGACCGAAAAGTTCACCAGAATATAATGATGAACTCAGTTATGATGAAGTAATACGATTGAATGCTGGCCCTCTACCCTTTATCAGAACTATAGACATTAGCCACAAGTATGTATTAAAAACTAGTGATATTTTTGATTTACTTTATACTTTTTTCTTTTTCACATTATATCATGCGACGATTTACCTGTACCTATTTACATACTGCAGTAGTATATTGCGTATAATCAGTCAACTAATAGCTGAATCTCTTAGAGATTTGGCTAAAAATTGGCGTTTCATTCCTATCGAATTTGCTGAAGATCCTGTTTAAAAGCTCAATAAGGTAGGTAATCAGTAGCGACTGCGGAAATTGTTCCAATACAGCGATATCGGTAGCATCGAATCTCGTTGTAAACATCTCTGATCAGTTAATCTATTGTAACGAAAAATAAAGAATTTTGAAAAATATGTATGTAATTTATTAGAATAAAATTATGTTCCAACCTGAAATTCGACTTCCGTAAGCGTTCTAAATAACGTTCCACAGCTATTGACGGTAAGAAAACTTTACGCACACTTTTCGGTACTTTATCGATAAGGCTGCGAGCCTGTAAAACGACATTGGTGAGTAAAAAAGTTTAATACTTGCATTGAAAAACATATATATTAAAATGTAATTCATTATGTTAACTATTTTTTAAATCTGCATTTTCCACCACAATTACCTTTTCTAAGTGCTGATGCGCCACAGACGCTACTTCAAAAATACATTCTTCCACTCCTTTGTCTTCAGCCTTATCTCTCACAATACGCTCCTGACTCACACCATGCTTTATCAAAATTTCTTGTGGCACATTTAAGGCTTGAGTTCGCCCCTTATACGGTATCGCTCTAAGGAGCGTAGCAATACCTTGTGCTTTGCCCAAATGTGATACAGCATGGTCAACTTGTATATCCTTAATGCCATTTAACTCAACTAGGAGATGAAAAAGTGATGAGAAGACCTGCTCGGCATACTCTTCTAGGTGTTTTACTGTAAGAAATGGTTGATTTGAAGGACGATCACGTGCCGTGACAAGACGCTTTAAATAGATTTTGCTAAGCTTATTTGAATCGACTGTCTGTAGTGGAAATAAAATGAATTTTTACATACTGGAACAAAATGATATAGTTTTTATACACTTACATATTTCAATTCACGTAAAACTGGATGATCAGCTACATAAGAAGTCTCGTTGGTGAAACATTTATCGATGGAATCATACCAAAATTTCAGTTTCAATTTATTTATATGCTCCTCTGATACCTGTAATTTTTCGAAAATGGGTTTAATATGGTAAGTTATTAAACTCTGGGACAACGCTTAACCTTTGCTCCACAATTAGCCACCTCAACATTGAATGCTCTTAATGCAAATGCATGTCGCCGTTGATCACCATTCAACAGTAATGTACACAAATAGTTTTCATAATCATTTTTCCTGCAATGAAATCACTATATACATAAGTGAATATAACTTTGTTTTTATATAACAAACATGTACACCTTTTCTGAACACTTTGAAAATTATGGTACTTTCAATACTCACTCCACTAAATTTATACAATATTGTGCAGAAAACAATTCATTCGCCAATTTCTTTTGTGTGCTGTACGTTGGGTGACCTTGTTGTTGAAGACAACATTTTAGGGAATTTTTTAAGCAATCCAATCTTTTGATTAAGAGCCGCATAATGAAATTAATGTGGCAAGAAATGTTTTTGTTTACAAACAATTTTAGGTTATGGTTGAACTGTCAAAAGTTACAGCTGATCGAACAACGAATTGAAAAAACAGCGAGTAAATTGTGGGAAACGGAAGTCAGTTGAAATGGAAAAGGAAATTAAAGCAAATCATTTAAGTGCATATCAACTGCAGAACGTATCCATATGTTCAAAATGCAGATATTTTGAATTAAATTAAGGATCGAATACAATATCGCTAGGTGTCTTCTTTTGTGGGTTTAAAAATCACGATGGTTTCAACAAGTGTTAATTTTCATTCAGTTCGGAGTTCTATTTTAAACATCAAATATGAATCCTGCCACCCGAATTGACTACATCACCATTGCGCTATTACTAATTTGATTTTACCTCACAAAAAAGGCTTCCGTCTCATTCAGGAATTGATGTTAAGTTAAAACCTTTTCACAAATAATGATCTATTGTTTTTTAGTAATTATATCAATTTGCAACAAAGTATAACCTCAACGAGTTCATTTATTTATTGAAATAATAGTGCGGTGAGACACAAGAAACAATTAATTGCGTTAAACAGTTTCGCAATTTTATACACGTGTAAATATAATCACTTAATATTATATGCATATTTATTGGTTGTTTATTAAAAATAAAGTTACATTCTTATTGTATATATACTTGTATGTATATTATTGAATTACTTTTACTAATTTGCATAACTTAAACTTCTACTGACTACAAATGCATTTGTTAAGTAAACTTCACTAAGGTTCCACTACATAAGATAAACAAGTATTTGTGCTTTGCACTTTTCACAAGCCATTTTTTGTGTATCGCATGAATCGCCTGCACCAAAGAAATGTTTCATCCTCAGTCCAAAAGTCCATTCTCAATAATGTTATTGTCATTTTTATAGTGAGCTTCACAGAATTGTGCAATACGTATGCAAGCCTCCTTCATCATATCACCAGGCACTGTTAATATGATACGCATAAAGTTCGGGCATTCGAAACATGCTCCCGGCAGACAAAAGACACTTTGTTCATTCACTAGCTCCTGCACAAAATGTGTATCTGTCTTGAAGGCTGGAAAACGTTCGATATCTACGCCAACCATCATGTACATAGCGCCATCGGGCATAACTGGATTAAGGCCGCGCACCTTTTTCAACATCCGATATGCCAAACGTGCGTTAGACTGCAAATTAAATTGATTGAACTGATAAGGTTAGTAGAGTTTACTAAAGGCAGAATACTTTAACTCACATAAAGCAAATTAATAACGCTGTCGAAAAAACTCTTTGGTGTCTTCTCCAACATGTCGGGCAGAGCTCCTTGCACTATGGTATTGGAACCTAAAATTCGACTACACATACTTTTTAAGCCGCCAATCGCATTACCCAAACGACCCTGCCGATCGTGTATAATCACCCAACCCATACGCCAGCCGGGCACGAGAAAGCGTTTTGTTGTGCCACTACATGTAAGCACCGGCACATTCTTAGAGAGACTACTCACAGCAATAAATTCGGAACCGGGAAAGACCAAATGCTCGTATATCTGAAAATTGTAAAAAATTTAAAATTGTTAAATTTTGAGGTTTTTTTTTATAAATGAATAACTCTTTTTTAATTACCTCATCTGCTATTATGGGCAAATAGTGTCGTTCGCAAATGTCCAATATATCCTCCAAATGTTTCTTACTAAATACACTGCCACATGGATTACTGGGATTATTGAGAAGTAACGCCCCTGTATTCTCATCTATCAAGCTCTCTAATTGACGCAAATCTGCCTCCCACTGTCGTTCCGGCAACAGATCATAATAGCGTATTTCGATGCCCAGACCTTCAGCGAGCGTTTGGTATAGACAAAACCCAGGACGTGGCACTAGTAAATTTTGTCCACTATCACAAAGCACTAATATGCAGTACTCCAGTGCTGCTGAGCAACCGCTACACATTAATATGTTTTCGGTTTTTATATCTTCGGCGCTCTGATGTGCGCTATATTTGGCAATAGCACGTCGCGCCTCTTCGTGTCCTTGTGTATGCGCATAGCCATTATATTTGCCGCTTTCAATGCAACGCTGCACAGCCATCATTGTCTCGTCAGAGGCGCGCAAGTTACCGAATGTTGTTGGATCTCCTGTAGGAAAGATGAAATACGTTTATTACTATGTATGTATGTATGTATGTATGTATGAATGCAAGAAATCATTTTTCCCTTGTAATTATTTAATAGTTAAATTAGTTTTGCATAAATAAACTCCCTGATAATTATCAAACATTTAGCTTAAATGGTGCGATCTTATCGCTCGCTGCTTATTACAAATGCAAACTCGCTGGAGAGCAAAGTGTACGGTGAATCGGAAATGAGGCAAAGTCGTACAAATCTTTTTCTAATAGCACGTAAAAGGTGACCAGGTCCATATTTTCTGACCATATATCTCTGACATTGGTTATAACGGGCGAAACAAATAGAGGTTATTTTTTCAATAACCGTTTTTGATAGATCAAGTGCGAGTCGTCTCAAGCTGTCATGTTAATTTTGTTCAGTATTGATTAGCATTTGAATAACTTTTACTAATCGTTAAACTTTATTACGAAAATCCACGTTCTGTAAAGAATAAGCTTCGCGCGCTTCGCTCAACTTATGGTCAACATAATTGGCCTACTGAGCGTGCTATTCGCAACACCATCTTGAGACCGAGCAGTCATTATTGGTTAATATTTGACCGAACAGATAGACCACGTCCAGCAAGCAGTGAATAAAATATTGGGGCCGTAGCTGAGAGTATACTCGAAGACCGTGGAAAGTCGATTCGGCGACGTTCGCCGCAACTCGTGCAGAGATATGGAACGACTTGGCGCATTTTGGGCTCTTAAAAGTTTCAAGAAGATTCGACGTTCTCGAGCCAAATTCTGTTCAACGATGAAGCCCTTTTCTGGCTCAATGGGTATGTGAAAAAGCAAATTTGCTGCAATTGGGACGAAGAGCAATCTGAAGAGAGCTGCCATTTCATACAGAAAAAACAACGGCCTGGTTTGGTTTGTGAGCCGCTGGAATCGTCGGTACATATTTCTTCAAAAATGATCTCCGACTATTTGATGCCACGACATTTGGTTACAACAAGATGGCGCCACTTTCCATGGATCAATGGGTTTATTTTAAGTTCACCTTTTGGAACGGTCGATTGGCCATCAAGATCGTGTGACAACATAAGACCTAGATTTGTAAAGTCTAAAGTCTATGAGGACAATTCCACTCCGATTCAGTCCTTGGAGAAAAACATCACGCGTGTCATTCGCCATTTACCAGTCGAAGTACAACAATCTGAGACATAGCCGCGTCCGACATTTGAAAGACATAATCTTCAAAAAATAAATGCCAAAGAATGTTCTTTCAAATGATAACAAATAATCCCCATTAAATTTTAATATTTGAATTTTCTGTGTTTTTTTCTTTACAAATTTATTGAACCTCGAAATGGATCAGCTTTTACATAGAAACTAAAAAAAACAAAGCATATACAGCAAAGATAATAGTATAGACAAAAACATAAACAACGGAAGCTCTTAGGATAACAAATGGACACCAGAGAAACGTTGATATGAGCAAGCAAATTATTGCGTAAATCGGAAAACCTAAAAATGATATTTCCTGCCTAAAAACCCAGACATTATAATTTTATTAAAATTCAAAATGAAGAAGGAACCATAGCATGTGAAACTTTAGTTTGTTCTACATAAATATTCAATAAATAGAAGTGCTGGCCCCTGGGGACATGGCTAGTGCCCGCTTCTAATAGTTGTTATCACTTCCCCATTAGTCGGTTTCTCTTTTTAGTCGACCATCATACTGTGGATTACCGTGTGTGCTGCTGAAAAACCTACACCTCAAGCGTTTGCCTTATATCTTTCTACCACCAAGCGCCTCATTAGCAATGGCCGCCTTTTACAGACAAGAGTCTATAACTTGAAACTGTATTAAATCTTCAGACTCCATATAAGCGTTTCATTAAGAACCACTTTCCTGTTTGAACATTCACATTTTCGTTTCTAGACACCTTAAGTAATAAATAAAATAAAAATATTCACCAACAATCATTTATGTATTATATATAATATAAGAAATACCAAAATCACGAACCATCCACATGACATTACGCTAATGAGCTATAGAAATGTGCCCTGCATTTGCATACACAAGCTTCTTATTAAACGCCCGCTGAAATGTAACCTATATTGAATTCCTTCGGCCGTCTGCTAGCGACAAACCTACAAAGCTAACCTAACCTGTACCGGCTTGACACGCGCGCACTAGCGGCGACTTAGCACAATCGATAATCGATAATTTTGTCCATTTCAATATTCATAGAAAAACGCGCATTTTTTATTTCAACTTATGAAATTTCCAATACAAACTATTGATAATATTTTAAAAATCGCGCATTTTCGTTGATAAATAATATACAAATAATATAAAGCAAAAAGGGGCAAGGAATGAATGTGTGAGTGAATAGTAGGCGAAAAATACAGCAACTACGAATTGGCTGTCATACACCCGTGCATATGTACATATAGTTTTACTGGAGCAACTTTTTATGATAATTAAGAAACGAACAACTAACGAGAATTCTTCTAGATATTTGAATAAACAATAAACAAGTTCATAGTTAAAGGTTTAGAAAAGTTTTGCATATTATTTTGTACCAGTTTTATGAATATTCACCAGTAAATTTAAAGGCTATTCGGTTAATATGTACATATGTATATAATAAGTGCTGCGTAGATGATAAAAAAAAATTATTAAAACAAAAACAAATTGATTAAAAAAATAAAAACGTTAAAACTTGCACCTGTTCGCGCAGAGAGCCAAACAACAACTCGACTACGTATGTACGAGTATGTGTTTGCGTGCGCCATAAGTTATCAAAAAAAATTGAGTTGGCTGCTTTGAGTGTGTTTTTGAGCACGATATCTTAACGCTGATTGGTCAAATAACGAAGGTGTGTACGCTGCGCATGCGCAACTATCGTTTGAACTTTTCATACACACATATGTATGTGTGAATAGAAGAGAAAAAATAAATACACGCGTATGTAAATTACTGATGGGAATTTCAAATTCAAATTTTTGTATTAAAAAATAAGCAACTCAACCTGCATATTTTCTAGAAGGTGGACAATACTTATGGACAATGTTTGTGTGAACAAATGTATGTATGTATGTATGTATGTGTGAGTCAAGTCGATTCATTAATACTCCCTATCAGAAAGCTTTTACGCTCTGGTAAATCACGCTGATCGCTGCAATTTAATGCAAAATTCTAAATAATTCGCGCTTGACTGGACTGATGCAGCATTTTAACGGTTCTACGATTGGGAAAAGCGCAGATTAACTGCTACGCATGATCACCTCGTGTAAAGCATAACCTGATACATTAACATATATATTACACAAATTCATCATTCTTCTTGCAACTATTATATGCACATATACATATGTACATATGTTTGTACATAACATGTATTATTGTTCGACAGCTGTTTCTGCGTTGTGTAATCAAAGAGGTTTTGCATGCGAAACTATCTCAGTACTCGGTAACGGATCTTTTGAAGCGGAAATTTCTTCAAATTAAATTCTTTCGTAAGATTTAATGGGCGGCTTATCGATGACAATCAAATTTCAGTTACAATAAATTGATCGATAATGAACTTTTGACAGGCCGGTAACTAGAAATTGTATGCAAATAAATTGTATAGTCAATAGAAAAAGTAAAAATAAAAAGTGTTTAGGTAAAGAAAAAAAGTTGTATATAAATATAATTGCCGCTTTGTAACCGCTGAACCGACTTGCGGTCGAGCTTCTCTCCCAATTTCTGGTCAAGACATAACTTGATGTTTTTTCCAAAAAATCGAGCGACCTGTAGTTTATCTTAAGCCGACTCCAAGCGACTGATGCTTTTTGAGGAGCCTTTATTTCATGTCAGAAATACACTTGAAATACACACTTCCTTAAATTGGTTTGCAATTTCAATAAAAATATAACCTTCAAATTATCGCCTTTCAACAAAGTCCATAAATCGTTTGCAAAACGTCTTTACGCTCTTGCGCCTTATAGTACGAGGCGTATGACTGTTTGTTTGATGACAGCTGATATTTGGTCTTGTCCTTGTTCACTACCAGACACTTTCGCTTCACTTCTTTATCAAATAAAGAGAAAGCTGAGCTCACGACGTGTGCGTTGAGGCCAACAATGTCAATATCATTGGCATACGCCAGCAGCTGTACGCTCTTGAAGAAGACTGTACCTTCTCTCTTCAGCTCTGCAGCTCGTGTTATTTTCTCCAGCAACAAGTTAAAGAGTTTGGTATTGAACGGCTTGGAGAGGTCCTTCCCGATCCTGACGGACCTTTCTGGTGCTGCTTAAGGTCAGCTTACACAGCCGTATAAGTTTTGCAAGGATACCAAACTCAGACAGAGCGGTGTAGAGGCGGCTCGTTTTCGTGCTCTCGAAAGCTACTTGAAAATCGATGAAAAGGTTATGTGTGTCGATTCTTTTTTCACGGGTCTTTTCCAAGACTTGGCGATTGGATTGGTCACACTTATAAAGTCCAATCAGCTTGTGAACAGTAGGCTTTAGTCATTCACACAATACGCTCGATAGTACCTTATATGCGATATTGAAAGGGCTTATCCCACAGTATCGCCCTTTTTATGGATTGTGCAAAACAAACTTAAATTCAAATCGTCGAGCAAGCTTTCGTCCGACCATATTGTGCAAAAAAAGCAGATGCAGGCACACCTTCTCAGATCTTACACGCAATGTTTACATAGCTCCGCTTGTAGGCTAAGAGCTCCAGCCGCTTTGTTGTTGCTTAAACGGCCAAATGCTACTCACGACTTCCGGTCTTGGATCAAATATCCTCCGGGTGGCTAACAAACATCCATTTGGAAGCGAGCTATAGTGAAAAGGCGAATCTGTGGCGATACCAACAACATGAAAACTAAACTCCAATGAAAAAAATGGGACTTATTCAATTAAGTAGTCAACGCAATGCGACTCATCTATGACCATACATACACACGTATGTAGAGTAAGTTTCAAAATAAACCTATATGAAAACTTATTTAATTCCCTCATTCTCACTTGCAGCGCACTTTTGAGACTCTCAATGAATTTCCATTTTCATTTTGTCAACATTTTCATACTCACCAATAGATAACGGTATCATTGGCTTTTCCGGATTCGGTTGAATTTTCAAGGACTCTACAATCGCACGTATACGATTATGTGTTTTCGTAGAGATTTTTGACGCCTTAATATTCCAACCTTTACGCACATTTTGCTGTTGTTTATGATCGCCACCATTGCTGCTGCTGCTGCTGCTGCTACTGCTGCTGCTCTGCGCTTTGATTAAGGTGGTGGTAGATGCTGTTTGAGTTATCGAAGTTTTGCACTGCAAACCGCTTGCCGGCATTATCACACAACGAAGGATAATATGAAAGTCACTTTATTGCTTACAAATATTATTATTATTAATTTATTTTTATTTTTTTCGAAATACTTTTTATTTTAAAATTTGTTTTTTTTTCGATTTTTTAATTAAACTTTTCACTGTGTTTGAGTAACGATTTTGGAAAAATAAATGCAAGTTTTCCATTCAGAGGATATGCAAATTATAAAATAATTTTTTTTTTTTGTTTTTCTTGCTATAAAATTATAATTTTTAGCAACATTTTTATAGCGACACCAAAATTTTTTCACACAATTTTCACTTCTATTTATTTAATTCGAATTTTTTTTATTATTATTTTAGTCCTTTGGCTGAGCAAGCGCACAATTTAAGTTCCGTTCCGCTTATGTAAGTCTAAACACCCGTGAGGATCTCCGCTCTTCAATAATTTTTGTGGTGTTCCCTTTGTGATTTGACATATGTATGTAAATCTCACTATTTGCCGTCGCCGTCGTCGCTGATTTTATTTCAACAACTTGTTAGTTAATTTCTCGCCTGAATTGAACTGATCTACTGGACTGGTTGGTGTGTGCTTTTAAAGGAAAATATTCAAATAAAGGCAAATTAAAATTTCTACAATGTTGTTGTAGCGATAGTCAGCAGGTGTTTATGTGTTTGTACTTATATACGACAACCACACACATAGAATGTAATATATGTATAATATGTATGTATGAACACCTCGGTCCTCGGTGCTGCTACTTGTGAGGTGTTTAATAAGCGTTCTCAGCAACAATAACAACGCACGAGGTGTTGACACATTTACACCAGCTCAACACCGACATCACGAAGCCCTGGTTACCTACCAACCAGCAACAACAACAACAACAATGAGACGGCCAACCAGCTAACCGACCAACCAACCAACCAACCTGATAGCCAAGCAGCCCTGTTAGTCGTCCGTCTGCCAGGCGGACTGCTCGTGTTACTGCTATGAATACCTGTCCGGATATACATACATTTAAGTGTGTATGTATGTATGTATGTATGTATGTTTGTGATTGCAGCGCATAATCAAAATATGCCGATATTTATTCGCATTTTGATTTCGCATTTGAATATATATATACATACGTATGTATAATATGTATGTATATATTTGCAGAAATATTATTATAGCAACTAATGAAGCGTGTTGTATGCGCGAAGCTCGAGCGCAATCGTAGCCGAGGCAAATACGAACAGCTCATCGTCAAAATACTTGTTCCATCTGATTGCGGTGTTAGCAGTGGATCTTTGAGATAAATTTCTTTTATTTTAGCTTTTTTTCTTTTTCTTCTTTTGAATGAAGATTTTTAGTCGCTTTTATTGCACTTTCGGATTTCAGAAGATCTCAGTAGCGTTGATGATCTGAAACATTGTTGTTGTTGTTGTTGTAATACTATGTCCAAGCGCATGGATTAGATTAGTTTAAGTCTAGTTAACCTGACACAGGGCACCAATTGCAAAGGGTGATCTATTTCGAAGTTCCCTAACTTTTTTTTACCAAAAGAAAAATGAACAAAGAAAATTCAAATTTTCAAATTTTCAAATTTAATGGAGAATATTTGTTATCATTGGAAAGAACTTGCTTTGACATTAATTTTTTGAAGATTATCTCTTTCCAGTGTTGGCCGCGCCTACGTCTCAGATTATTCTAGCTGGTAACTGGCGAATGACACGCATGATGATTTGCTCCAAGACCTGAAACGAAGCGGGATTGTCCGCAGAGATTTTAAGCTTTACATATCACACGATTTTGGTGGCCAACGGACCGGTTTAAATGGTGAAACTATCTGCCCACCGAAGTATTTTCTCAATAAATCTATCGATTGAGGCAATGTGTGGGGAATGGCGCCGTCTTGTTGAAACCAAATGTCACCGAGATCACGAGCTCAATTTCAGGCATGAAATGGTTGGTTGTCATGGCGCGATAACGGTCGCCGTTGATGGTTACGTCCTCACTGGCATCATTTTTGAAGACATATGTACCGATGATTCCGCCGGACCACAAACAACACCAAGCCGTTGTTCTTTCTTTATGAAGTTTCTTTATGAAGTGGTAGCTCTTGAATATCTTCAGGTTGCTCTTCGCCCCAAACGCGGCAATTTTGCTTGTTTACACATACAAATTGAGAAACGACGGATCTTCTTGGAACTTTTCAAGAGCCCATAGAGCGAAGCGATATCGCTTGGGAAGATAGTTTGACTTTAGTTCTTGCACAAGCTTTATTTTGTACGCTTTCAATTCAAGGTTTTGGACGTGAAATGCGCCAAGTCGTTACATACCTTAGCCCGAGTTGCTGCGAGCGGTGCCGTATCGACTCCCCACGGTCTTCGTGTATACTTTCAGCTGCGGCCGCTATATTTTCTTCACTGTTTGTTAGACGTAGTCTATCTAATCGGTCGAATATTATCCAATAATGAATGCTGCGTTTCAAGATGGGTGATGGTGTTGCGAATACTTCGTAGGAGAATCCTACTTCTGTAGGAAATAGTAAGTGCTTACTTACACCATGCAATGCAGGGCGAAAATTTGTTGCAATCGGGTGCATTCTCCACCGCACATTCTAGAAATGTAAGCCACAGTTACAAAGGGGTGAGATATGGTAAACAGGTCGTGTGGAGCCATGAATCAAGACAAAAAAAGGGAACACTCCGAGATTTCCAATTTAAGAGTTCACTAAAATCTTTTTGCAGCTTTCGTTGAACAGAGATACCTTGACATGCATCAAACGAGCGTCGCTTCTGAAGGAAGCGGCTTCAATATATGTAATGTTCGATCTCGTAATTGGGAATCCCAAGAATTATGATAAACGGGCAAGGACGGAACCGAGGAGTAGATCCTTGACATGCATAAGATGACAGTAGCGCCAATTTCGAATCGGATTCATGGTGGGAGAGAGATTCAATCATCGATTTCTGAGGAAATACGCATCAAAGCTAAGTTTTCTAACATATCACGCCACGACCGATGATAAGGAATATGTGACCAAGGATGAGGCGGCGCTTACAGCCCCTCCATAGAGATGTCAAAATTGTACTTAGCGGCTTGAGCACCCCAATAACCAAGGTAGCTTCAAACTCGATAGCTACAACTCTGTCTTCCAAGCAGAGTTTGTGGGCATCATTCAAACTCTCACCAACTGACTACTTCACTACCTCAGCACCTTCAAATGTTGTCCAAAGCAGTCTTGGAACATTTCCATCACATTATGGGGTAAAGCCACTTTAGATTTTGGGAAAGCACAATTTTTCCCCCCTTAGGGCACCTTTGGGTCTTAGAAATGATATGTAATTGGTTTTAAAGTGGAAAATGTATTTCAAATAGCTGCACTTTTTGTTTTGCTGCAGCCCCTCAGAGCGTGGGCTGAGTACAATGAAACCTTTAAACGCCTTTTTCTCAAAATCACATTTTTCAAACTCGGAGGACAGATAATTCGGACCCTATTGCTTCGATTTATCTCAATTTTTTTGGAAGTACGTAGTCGTTTTTCGGTTTAATGTAAACTTTTTTTTTAGCAATTTGGGAGGTATTTTTTAGTCAAAAATCACTCTTTTTAAACAAAAAGTGTGTCGCTTTCACAAAAATTAGTTCAAAAATAAATCCGTACATTACTCCAAAGACCATAGTTTGTAGATCATAAAACATTTTGCTTTTCTGTTCTAGGTCTCATCCTTTAGAAGGAATTATTCCTCCCGTGAATGCTTATTATGCTTGCGGGTATATCGACGTGACATCTAGCCCTGAGATATCATCTCCCCATGAGAATTAAAGTAGATTCGGCTGATCCAATCTTGCGGAGGTGGACATACATTGTTGGATGAAATGAAATCAGCTTATTACTAATCAACGTTTTTTTTTTTAATTTAATTAAATTCAAATCAATTACTGATACGACTAGGACTAGTAATAGTGACATAATTTTGATCCGAGGATTTCTTCATTTCATTTGCTAAGAAAAAAACTGCAAAAAAAGCATTTTTATGGGGTTGAGTAAGTCCTTGCTACCCATACATTCAAGTATTTGGTTTAAACAAGCTTGATTTTATCACGAAATCGTAGACAAATGCTTTATAAATTCTTTCTTAGGAGGGGATTAACAAAAGTTCGGTAAATTGACCAGAAAAAATTAAATAAAAAAATCTTTATGTATTTATTCGAAATCTTTGTCTTTTTATTTTTTTCAATGCATTTCTTAGGTCTATAGATCCACTTCTGAAAACAGTTATCAAGTTCAGCATTAACCGCATTAATTATCACCCCGTTGCTATTAAAGAACTTTCCTTTTATATTTTTTTTTTAATTTTTGGAAATAATCAGAAATCACAAGGTGCTTTATCCAGGAAATATGGTGCTGGATCTACTTCTTCGATCCCAGAGATTGCAATAAAATTACACGTTATTTCAGCAATGTGGGATGGCGCGTTGTCATAATATAAAAAGTAGCACCGCAAACCGTCTTTCTTCCTGTTTTCCAACAAATTTCTAAGAACTTTTGGTAAGCACTCTTCGGTCTACTATTTCGTAGTTACCGTCTGACCCCTTTCCAGTCTAATAGCAGCTACGATTTTAGATCGGGTGAAGGGAACTGGTATCATTACTTTTGCTGTTGAGTTTTGTTGATTAGATTTTACGGATGGGTTTTCTCCTGTTGTTCTCCATACCATGGACTGCTGTTTTATGTCTGGATCGTACTCATAGAACCAAGATTCATCACCAGTAACAAGTTTACTAGACCCGCCATTTTCGAATTTGTTTAGGAAAAATTGAACAAAATGCACTCGAGTCTCTTTTTTGTTGCTTATTTAAAGTTCGTGGTAGCCATCAAGCAGATTTCTTCATGTATCCCAGATGATTACTTAATATTCGCGACGCAGCAATGGCATTCAAGCCCAATTGATTAGCAAACATTTCTTGTGTAAATCGTCGGTCTTCTTCAATTTCGAACTTAACCAGAGCTACGGTGAGGTCATCAGTGAAAGATTTAGTCTATCTCTACGGAGAAATGCCCGGTCTAGAATCTTCAGAACCACTTAAAAAATAGTATTTAAGACTTTCCAATTTGTCTTCGCTCTAAATTACGTCGTA